AATTTAATAGTTCACATGTCAACAATAAGAAGATTTTTCAATTCATAACCAACATCATTTCCAGTTTTGGTGTAAAAGTTACAAAGTCTAACTTTTCAACATCAAAGTCAAGTAAATACACTAAGTTTTTTAGGTTCTAGAGGCCAATTGGGCAAAACCTCCATTTTTTTTAACTCTTCCAACCATTCATACACATTAGTATCACAAGAAGGATTAAGTAATGTATATAATGCATGAATTTAAAGTTTTCAATTTTCCCTAGGTTGATTTCAATTCACAACAATCCAATAATTCATATTTCAACCTCAAAGTCGAATAAACACGCCCAATTTCATGTTTTAAAAATTAATTGAGCAAAACCCTTCTTTATTGAACAAGTTTCAAAACTAGAGTTTGTAAAAAATTAGGGGTTTTCTCTATTTCATGAATTAGAGACTAATTTTCTTCATCATCAACAATAATCCTCAATAATAGACATAATTCCATTCATAATCATGAATTATTGCCCACATCATTCCAAATCATTTATTAGCAAACACAATCCATACATATGTGTGTATATATATCTACAAAGGTAAATATCTAATGAAATTACCACACGTGGTTCTCAAAGTAAAGATATACTAAATTAAAGATGCCCCTACCTCAAGAATGGAAGCTTAAGATGGAAACCCACTTGAAATTTCAACAAAAATGAGAAACAATCGGTAGATATCTCGGACTAGACTTGTTCTTCAATTTTTTTTGAAAGATCTAGGATGGATTTAAGGGAAAAATTGAGAAATCAGGTGTTTGGAGCTCTAGGGTTTCGGGTATAGAGGAGAGGGAGAGAATAGAGGAAGAAAGAATAAAGATTTTGGGCCAAAAAATGATTTTAAAGTGCCAGAATTCGCGTAGACCACTCGAATAGTCTTTTCATCACTCAAGCTGTGACTGAGGTTTCTCAGTAATTTTGTCTACAAAACGAGATACTGGGAGCTCTTCAAATTTGCTCGAGCAACCACTAGTTCACTTGAACGGTCCACTCCTACCTGCAAAACTACTAGATGTTCTCCATCTTCGCTCGAGCAGTATTTTCACTGCTCGAGAGATCACCTGGGACAAAATGTCACATGACGGTATGCCTCTGCTAAGGACTTATCTTGGGAGGATCTTAGAGCTGAAGGCTCATTTATTTTTGTGTTATAAATATCTTTTGTACAAACCTCAGTTTTTTTATTTGTATTGGGCTTGATCTACTTTTATTGTAACCAAGTATTGTCTTGAAAACATGTAGCCCTTAGGGCAAGAACTTCTCTTTTCTTTATTTGTTCTATGTATATCTGTTACATGCTATAGATTCATGACTTAGGGTCAATGAATGTATTAATGCATGTGGTGTCATTTTATACTAGATTAAAGGAATTAATGAAAGAGAGAATGTTTTGGTATTATCGTCTTTAATAAATGATTGAATCTTATGAATGTTTATCTGTTGAGTATTACCAGGGTATCTGTTGAGGATTATGAGTGTATTTATTGTTATAATTTGGGGGTGTCATAGTGTTTAACACCTTCCTATCTTGTACCTAAGCTACCGAGCCAAGTTCTTTGGTTATGAGTGACTAGTTCTTGTAGATTGGAGTTATATTATGGTTCATGAACCTTAAAATCAAGTAACGACTGCAATTTATGAAAGCTTTGATTTGTGGTCATTTAACCTATGTAGGAATTAGAAAAAAAATCTATACAAGTTAGTTGATATTGTTGTATAAATACGAACTAAATAAAATAAGAAAAAAAAAACATATTCGGATTTAATACATAAATTACAAAAGTAGAAAAATAAAATTATAGAAATTGAAAATTGTAGCCTTATGAACAAAAATATAAAACTAGAAAACAATTTTGAAATATAAAAGATAAGATCAAACAAACACAGAAAATCAAACCGAGGCCTATGTGTCACACAGTGTTCTTAAAACATATTTGCCGCCTCACCAATGGGTGCTCAAGGAATGTTGGCATTTGTCTCCCAAGATATAACGATGGTGGATAACTACTGCAAGGGCACCTTCTAAATAGTTCCGGCGAATAAAAATACATGCAACACTCTCTCAGACTAGAAAGAAATTTATAGATAGAGAAACAAGATGACTTATGGAATTTTTGGGGTGTGGAAGCAAGAGATGAGGGCCTCTATTTATACACATTGGAAGGAGCCTCAACTTTCAAGGCTAGGCATCAATACAAGATTGAATTCTACATAACTAGTGGATTAAATCACCATAACTCACGAAGATTATAGCACATGTGTTGAATCAACAACAATCACATAACAACTTGGCCAGGTCAGAAGAAAGAGTAAGATTGGCGAGCCACCAACCCAGTTCAATCTTAATCTAGTTTAGCTGTGACGCCCCCAAATTGTTAACATATGATAACGCAGATGAGCTCATCAATAATCCTCAATCCTCATTAATCATGAATCCTTTACAATTAAAGAATCATATAATTTCCAATCAAGCTTCTCATATATGTATATTCATGACATTTATCAAGAGATGTAAGGGTTCCACACACCATTATGTTTTCATAATTTCTAAGACAATATTTGGTAGCATGTAATGAGGATTCAATAGAAATTAAAACAAAAAATAATACCCTATGGGCTACACGTTCCAAGGCTTAAGCCTAGTTACACGTAAATGGCTTTCTAACCCATACAAATATAGTCCTTGGCTTATCAACATAACAACAACAAGAGATAAGGGCCTCGTGCTCCTAAAACAATTCTCCATGCCTCTACTTTGGCAGGATCACAACAGTTTTTCCTGCAACAAATCCACTAGGGGTGGGCTCAAAGCCCAGTAGAGAATTATTAACAAAGTATATATATTTTATACAGTTTCATGAAATGAATGCACATGCTCAACTCAAAATAGTTTTTTTTTTTTTTTTTAATTGAAAATCTTCGATTTTTTTTTTTTGAAAATCTCATGCACAATGCTCATTCAAAAATATATTCATTCAAAAATATAATCAATCAAATGATTTCCATATATCAACAAGCGGTGGTAAATACGACTCAGGCAAATCCCCAGGGCTAGTGTCTGCAAGTAGGCGTATCAAGCACCACCAAATCCTACCTTACCAGCTTCTAACTGGAGGCCTTAGGCACCCGCACACGTGTGTTTCTGGTCTTACACCAAGGACACTCAAGCTAACTTAATTATCAAACTACGCCCCTTAATTGAATTTCTCACCGTATTTATCCCAAAACGGTTCAATAACAATATTTGTTCCACAAGACCATTTTCGTTTAAAAAGTGATCTCAACAATGCTAGTTCAAAAGAAAACAATGAACATGAAATGAAATGCCATTGTAATATATATCTATATTAATACCTTGGACTTTCTTAAATTTTCTTAATACTTTTTCATTTCATCCACACAATATTCCATTTTCATCAAGTTCCACATATCTACTCAATACACATGTATACAATATATAGTCCAAGAGAGAGATAAAAACACATCATCAAATACATTTCTTTTCTCTTTAAATCAAATAAATCTCGACACGAAAATCATCAATCTCAATCTTCATCTTTCCAAGATTAGTATAAAAACTTACTATTCACTATTTTCTCAATATCAATTTCTCTCTTACAAGGGGTTTCAACAATAGGGGTAAATATAACAACTTTCTCATCATTTCTCAAAAATGGATCTTAACAATTCATGATTTCATAAAATCTCAATTTTTTCCCAAATTTTCAAAATCTAGGTTTTTACAAAAGAAAAATGGAATTTTTCTTTTTGAAAGATTTTGTGCAATTAAAAATCCTAACCGTCACACAACTCATATTTTTCATTGATATTACTTTTTCCGCAACTTCCTCAAGCCTAGGGTTTCCACAAAATTAGAGTTTCCTCATTTAAAAGAAAAAGTTTTTGCTTATGAAACTCTCAAAACATTCTCATAGTTTATAAATTAAAAGATTTGAAGAAAGATATGAGAAAACCTCTCTTTAAGCAAAATACGATCTCATAAAAATTAATCCTAGTTCAGCACACTCTAAACAATATCGAAATAACTATAGATTTACAAAAATATATATATAATTCAAAGAAAATTCTTACTTCAAAAGTTAAAAGAGGAAACAAAAAAAAAATCTGAAGTTTCGACGTTGATGGATTTTGATCTCTATCAATTAAAATGTAACTCTTACCGTACTGTACAATTTGACCTTAAGAATTAAGTTGAGATTTAGCTCCCATGACAGAAGATCAAAGGATTTTTGGATAAATGCAAAATAATAAAAATAATAAAAAGGCAGAGAGAGCAGAGAGGGAGAGAGAGGAATTGTTCGGTTCAGAAGATGATGAAAATGATAATAAAATAAATAAGAACAACAACAATAATAATTTATTACAAACGAATCGTAATTTAATCAATTGAGTCCAAAATGACTCCAATTCAATAATTTAAAATAAATCTCTAACTGAGATTAAAGAATAAAATAATTTGAAATGGATTCATGGTAGTCCACATTAATAACAAATTAAAGATAAACTAAAACAATATAGTTAGGGCTAATTAAATGAAATCTCAAAAATTTAAATTTATATCCACATTTAATATTCAAGACGCAAAAGAATTTGCCGTGCGCTTCACAAAATTGAAATAAAAAAATATTATAATTTATATTCAGCAATTTAAATAAAATGGTCCACAATACCACAACTATAATAATAATAAAGACAAAATTTAATTTAATTCAACTCGTTGCAATCTTCCCTCCTTAAGGAATTTCACCCTCGAAAAATTATTGTTTTTCCAACAGATATATTCTTCTTGTTTTGTCCACATAACCCTAAACAAAGGCCCAACACTACCACTTAAACAGTCCAAATTAATTAAGCATTGCCAAGTCATGACAATGGACGCTTGAGGAAGGATGATTTTCCAAAGGCTAGACTAAAAAATAAGCAAGCAAATCCAGAATAAGATTGATTGAACAAGATATAAAAAAATTGATACTAATAATATGACTAATATATATAACATCTCCCAATAATTGGGAAGTGGAAACATACAAAATTTACAGGAGTACAAGTTAAGCATTGGTCCCAAGTGCAAGCACATCAAAATCAGAAGCTTCAAATGACAAACTTGATTATGGGAAGTTCCCTATCCCCAATCCCATTAAGCTCTCTTCAACATGAGCATTAGCATGAGAGGTGGTGATTAATAAATCATCATAAAAGAAAGAGTCAGAGTCGGAGGCGAAGCTTGTGGTTGTGGGTGAGTCGTTGCTTTGATAAGTCGGAGCCAAAAGCTGATCATTGGGTGACTTCATTAATCTTCCTTCTTCTGATCTTCTTCCTCTATGAAGAATGTTTTGATGATGTGAATTAGTTTCCTCCACAAACCGTGACACATCGGAGTCCCGACCCGTGAGTTCTTGAACAAGAGCTCTGAACTTGGAGGCACTTGTCTTCACCTTTACAGGGCTAGATATGTGCACAACCTTCACACTAATCTCTGAACTTTTCCTTTTACTACTCTTTCTCATCCTCTCCTTCTCTTTCAGATGATGATCATGATCATTATGATCATGAACTGCACTGGAAGTTCTGTGTAGGTCCATGATAAAATAGGCTCAAATAAAGCAAAGCTCGTGTATAGTAGATAGATATTTGGTTTGTGTAGTATTATTATTAGTATATATATGGGTAGGAAGACTTGGTTGGGATGGGAAGGGTTTCAATAATTGAGACTTTTTCTTTTACAATAATACGAGGTAAGGTTGCCTCTTGGAAAGAGAAAATATTATATGGAAGACTAGAAAACATAGATAGCGTATATATGGAAGTTTTGGAAAAATACTTGGCTACGGATAGGGTACTATGTGACATGTCACGTAGTGTCTTTAATCAATTACAAATATTATGGTCTCCCATGTTATCTTCCTAATACTCAACACATAAATATAACTCTCACTTTATCAACTAATGAGAAAAAAAAAAAGATACCATATAACATTTACTCTATCTTTTTTTTTTTGATCAGTAAATGTTAGTTGTTAATTATTAGATTAGCACATATGGAAGAAAATCTCCCCACCTATGGCAAAGCACCTAAATGATTGCACTCTCTTCATTCAACTTCCTAAAAAAAATTGAACCCATAACTTCTTAAAGACTAAATCCTAAGAAAGATATAGTAGCCAACTAGACTAGGCCTAGTTGGTTACCACTTACTCTATCAGCACCCAAAAATTTCTCATAGAAATAGAGGAAGGTAGTAGGAAATATAGACCACTAGAAGATTCTGTGGAAGTTATTACTTAGATTAGATGACCCGTAATCTCATCTCTCATGCTGTGTTTTCATGTGATTGAGGTTTGGTGGTGACTTTTATTGTTTTTTATTCGGTATATCCCATGTGCGCAGCCTCCCATGACTTGAAAAACGAAAAGCCATAGATGGTGCATCTGTGGCTTGAAAGTATTGGCTAATGAGGCCCATCTGTGGCTTGAAACTATTGGCTAATGAGGTTGGACCCCTAAAAAAGTTATATATATATATATATATTTTATCTTAATTATTTTTTTTATAAAAATATAAAAAGTAAAAAATAAAATCCAAAAAATTCAAAACAAAAAAGCCAAAAATAAGTTAAAAAAATGTTTGGTTTTCAATTTTCAAAATCAGTTTTCTAAGTTTTCAAATCGTTTTTTTATGTTTTTAATTTTTTAAAGTATTAAAAAATTTTGAAAAGTAAAAATTTTGTACAAAAATATTTTAAAAATTCATTATATACAAAAAAATACGAAAATGTATTAAATTTTCATATTTTTTTTAATATTTTTTGTATTTGGTGAATTTTTTAAAAAAAAAGTTTCACAAATATTATACTTTTTAAGCGTATTTAGATTATGTGTATTTAAAAAATAAAAAATTTGTGTAAAATATTAACAAAATTCACTAAAAATAAAAATAAAAATATGAAAAATAAAAAATTCAATTTTTTGAAGATGACTCAATTTTTTAGAATCAAACATGGTAAATTTTTTTTTTTTTTAAATTTTCAAAATTTTCTTTTATTTTTTGAGTCTATCTAGTTAAGTATATATGTAACGCTTTGAAATAAATGCCATAAATCCATTCAAGACCATATATAAATAAAAATATGAATCAGAGTATAATATTCTTTCATTTCATGAGAGTTAATAATACAAAAGAGTTTAACTAAATAAATGCCCTATAAGCTTACATCTTTCCAAGATCATGTTTGGTTACAACAAAAGCGGATATAAATCCAATACATGTAAAGCCCTTGGCTTGAATCAAAATAATAACATAATACACAAAAGAGAAGCCTTTGCTCCAAATCCCTCCAAGCTATTGTCTTGGCGGAGACATATCACCGGCACCTGAAAATGGCTTTTTCCCAAATATGATGAGGCAAAGTCTAGTAGAAACAATCTAACACAATATATGAGTTTTAACAAAGATACAAGTATGATATGCATATCCAATACCCATGATAAAATCATTTATAACTTTTTCATAAAACCATGCCATGTCAAGCTTCATATCTCAATTCATTTTATCTCAATTCATAAGCCATTCACCATTTTATTCAGATAACCAAACTGAGGGTACAACTCGTTAGGTCTCTAATCAACGCAGTCATTATACAAATACTTCCGTTTATCATTTTACGGATATTTTATCTGCGGGAATCAGCACCAATGCATATGCGCGGTTTTCGGGACTTTCACCCTGGACACACATGCCAACTTAACTCATTAGAGTCTATCCCATTTCTTCTTCCAAATATGGAGTACATTCACTTTCTTCTCCTAAACATCATACATTTACAATGTATTAAAGACATAGTCATATTCAATGACAACGAATAAGAGATTAGTTTCAATTCATCTAATCTTCATGCAATTTCTATAACAATCATAGCTATCCTCTACCGATAGCCCAAAATAGATATTTCTAAACAGATATACAATCTCCAAGGCAAATAAATTATCCAAATTTTCATAGGCGAGAGGTAATACGTATCCAACTCCACCATTTATATAAATATTCATCCAATTTCATATTCCCAATACCAATTTCATTTATTTATGCAAAATAACTATTTGAGATATTTTAGGGCAAAACTCTCTTTTCTTTCAAAATTCACCTCGGGTGTCAAAATCAACAAATTTCTCACAACACAACCTCACACCCACTCCCATAACCATTTTTAATACATATATTTGAAACCCCCCCTTTTTTTTAAACCAAAACTCTAGATTTGTTCAAAATTATCCCAAATTCCAATATTAAAGACACATCAACAAATAACTAAGTTAAAACTCATAGAAGAGTATGTAGAAAGTCCCTACCTCAAGTTTAGAAGACAAGCAAAGCAAGGAAGAAACTTCAAAGATGCCAAAACCAAGTTTTGTTCGGACCAAAGCGAAACTCTTGAGACACTCTACCTCTTTCCTAAAGACATAAGGGTAGAGAAACCAACGAATCTAGATGAAAATGTAGAGAGAGAGTGTGTTCTAGAGAGAGGGGCTCTAGATCTAGGGTTTTAAGAGAAAAAGATGTGAAAAAGTGATGTAGAAAGGTACTGCTACGAATTGACATGCGCACAGTCTGCTTGAGCATAAGAAGTGACGCTCGAGCGTAAGACACAAAAAGTTATTCTATTCAAGTGCAAGAAATGACGCTTGAGCGCAGAATGCACACTTTCAGTAGTTTTGCAGACAACAGACTAACATTCGAGCGCAAGAAAAGCCGCTCGAGTTGAGACCGCTTAAGCGCAGAAGCACCGCTCGAGCGTAAAATATACTCTCCCAGTAGTTTTGCAGACCTGTAAAAGTACTGAGAGTTCACAAATCCCACTCGAGCGCAAAAAGTGTAACTCGAGTGGAGGAGTAAAATTCTAGGCAACCAAAGTTTGAAAACCAAGCAACCAACTTGTTTCAAATGCAACCATTACAATCCAATAACCAAACTCAAGGAAGAATGAGGGGAAAAAGACATGAACAACATTACAAAACCACGAAACCCGAGTCTAAGATACAAAAGGGTCGGGTTAAAACCGGAATCGCTATAGTATAACTCAAAAGCCTAAAATATTTTGAAAAATTAAAAAACAAATTACTAAAAATAAAATAAAAAAAACCAACAAAAAAAAAAAAAAAAAAAAAAAAAAGAAAAAAAAAAAAAAAAAAAAAAAAAAAAACAAAAGCAAAAACAAAAACAAAAAACAAACAACAAACAACAAACAACAAATAAAATCCAACTAATTGGCCACTCTTGCAAAAGGTTAGGGTCAATTCCTATTCGGGACGTTAGGGTCAATTTTTGTCAAATTGAGCTTCTCTCTAATTCACAGAGGGTGTTGTCTGGATCCATGGAGCTTATTATAGGTCCCATTTCGATAATTTAAACAATTTATTTTGTATGATCTTTCGTGTATATCATTCATAATAAAAAAATTAAGTTGATCTGATAATCATAACCTATTTGATTTATTGCGTTTGTCAAAAAAACAAAAAACAAAAAAATAAAAATAAAATTAAGGTTTGAGCCATGTAACAAAATAAATCATGAGTTTTTAATTTTGTCAATTTAAACCTTATACTTTAGATTTTTTTTTCAATCTAAAACATTTGCCTATTTTTACTACATAAAATCAATAAATAAAAAAAGAATAAGGGTATTTTAGTCATTAAATTCAATAAAAATAGTATTTTTGACATTCTATGTATACTGTGGTGGGTAAAAATTGAACCACCTTTGCTGCAGTGGCACTTTGGTGTGAACACGATGGAACTTGAAATACTTAAAAAAATATGAAGAACCCGGCTGGTGGGTAGCCAAGGGACTCTCCGATGCTTAAGTTAGTAAACTTGGAAGTTATGGAGTAAGTAAATATAAGAATAAGAGCAACCTAAAGTGGTGTTAATTATTTGTCTATATTTTTTCTCACTTGGTATGGCTTTATATAGCCTCTAAAGTCGTTGTTGGAGTTGATTCCACTTCCCCTACCACTCCTTACGTTCAACCCACTTTTTGTGGGATCATGTTCCAATATCGCGGATTTCTATGAGTGGTTGGCCTTTAAAGTAAGGACCAAACTTTGACCAAGTCTACCCTTGATGGCCATGCCTTCTAGACTTGGCCTTTTGGCTTGGACCCCTAGACCTCTAAACTTGGTCTTCTAGTCTTACACCTCTGGTTCTAGACCCGCATGTGCGGGCCTGGATATCTAGTCATGGTCTCTTGGTCTCTTCTGGTCCTTTGATCCTAAACCTGCATGTTTGAACCTGGACCTGGTCCCCTAGACTCTTCTGGTCCTCTGGATTCTTCTGGTCCTAGACCTCTAGACCTGGTCCATTGGTCCTGGATTTGCATGTCTGGACCTAGACCTTTAGTCCTGATCTCTTGGACACTTCTAGTCTTGGACATTTTTGGTCCCATACCTCTGGCTTTGGACCCGCATGTCTAGACTTGGACCTGTAGTCTTGGTCCCTTGGTCTACTCTAGTCCTCTGATCCTAGACCTGTATGTTTGGACTTGGACCTAGTCCCTGGATTCTTTTGGTCCTAGACCTCTAGACCTGGATTTCCATGTCTGGACCTGGACTTTTAGTCCTAGTCCCTTGGACACTTCTTGTCTTAGACCTCTAGTCCTGCTATTTTGATTGCCAGAGTGTATCCTGCTCGAATTTTGTATGTTTCCTGCTCAAAATGAAACTCTTTATTTTTGCTCCCACATATACTTGCATTGAGTTTAATTACTAAAATAATATTTTTCCATTGGTTTTACTTAACAAAAATAAGCGAATAATTTAGATTGAAAATAAA